TCGTAATCCATACTCAAGACTACAATCCTTGATCCACATCAGCAAGAGCTTCAAGTCCTCCTCACTGTCAGCGAGCAAGGTTGTGGCAGGTTGTTAAAAAAAACCTTCCTCCAATCCTGATGCCATTATCGATGAATAATGATTAATAATGGTATAATTGATGAGTCCTGGTGGTGTGGTGCATTATACGATTAACTGCTAACCATAAATTCATTAGCAACTCTGCAGGAGGAAGAGGAGGTTTCCTGCTCCTGTAAAGAGTTAGTCTGGAAAACTTGCAAGGGGAGTTCTACCTTATCTTACAGTGCCACCATGAGTCAGCATCGGCTCTATGGCAGCAAGTTTGGATTTCTGGTTAGTATAAATGACATCAAATTTTTGTCTTTCAATCTATGGATGCTTTTTGATTTATTCAGGTCTTGTTTGATTTTTTTTCATCAATGCTTTAAAGTTACAGCATAAATTTCATATAATTTTTGGAGTAAGCTAGTCATGCACAGGGGAACCCTGGTGGCATAGTGCATTAATAGTTGGGCTGCTCACCACAAGATCAGCAGTTCAAAGCCACCAGCCCCTCTGTGGGAAAAAGATGAGGCTAACTAAAAAGAAAAACCAAGCAAACACATTGCCATCGAGTCAATTCTGACTCCTAGAGACACTATAGGACAGGATACAACTTCCCCTAGGGTTTCTGAGACTCTTTACAGGACTAGACTCTTTATAGGACTAGAAAGTCTCACCTTTCTTCCAAGCAGTGGCTGGTGGCTTTGAATTGCTGACCTTAAAGTTAGCAGTTCAACCCATAACTACTTCTCCACAGTCAAGAGGAACCACCTGAGCCATCTAGAGACACTGGTGCTACTCAAAAGGAACTTGACATTTTTTAACTTGTATGCTGCCGCATACAGAGGGCTCTAACCTAAGAACTATTGTGAGGGTGGAGCAAGACCAGGAAGGGTTTTGCTCTGTTGTACATAAGGCCAGTATGGGCCAGACCTGACTTGACAACATGTAGCAAGAAGCACATAGAAGTACAATGGATTCCTCTGAGACCTTGCTATACTCATTGGTTTTAGGAACTTTGCGGTAGGCTCTTTGGGGTTTTCTGCATAATCATGCCAATGTTAAATAGTGGCAGCTTGCTTGCTTGCTTTCTGATTGGTATGCCTCTTACTTCTTTTTCTTGCTTCCTTATACTATCCAAAAACACAAGCACAATGTTAAACAGTAATGGTGAGGGCAAACACCCTTGCCTCGCTCCCAATGTTGGGGGAAGAGTCAGTGTTTCGCTGGTAAGTGTGCCATAGGTTGACACACTTTGTAGTTTCAGTTGTAGTTACATGAAACCAGGAATGGATATTGCATTGTGTAGAATGCTTTCTCTGCAGCTATTGAGCTGATTTTTCATTTTTGAGAGAGCAAATTATATTGACTGATTTTCAAATGTTGACTCAACCCCGCATTCCTGGCATTAAACCTTAGTTGTGCTAAATATATATTACCTTTTCTTTATGTTTTGCTCGACTCAATTTGCTAAAATTGTGTGAGATTTTTCTGTTGAAGTTTCATAAGGGACATAGGTCTGTGGTTTTATCTTGTGTTGTCATGTTTTGTCTGCTTTGGGTGGCAGAGTAATGCTGGCCCAAGTTTCCGAAAGAGCTGATGTAGAAGTGGCATCTTTTTTAAATGTTTTGTAGAGTTCACGGTGAAACTATTTTGGCTTGGAATTTTCTTTGTGGGAAGGGACTTAACTGTGAATTTAATCTCTTTAATAAATTTAGTATTACTCCAGTTACCAGGTTCTTCTTGAGTAAGCTTTGGTAGTTTTGTTCTTCAAGAAATCTTTCCATTAAAGTTGTCAGACTTATTGGCACAAAGTTGTTCATAATATTCCCTTGTGGCCCTTTTAATGTCTTCTACTGGAATCTTCTCCATCTGCCATGGGGCAGTCTAACTAGAGGCTCCTCTTTGGGTCTCACATGCTGCCTAATGGAATCACTCGGGCTGCTGTATTGAGGGTGTGCTGGAGTGTCGACAGTGGAAGTCGTTGAAAGCCCATCCACAGCCCAAGCCCAGGTAAGCGGTGACAGAGGCTTAGACCAGGGCTTTAGTAATGGAGGGAGGCCATGTTTTGGCTATCCTGGGTATCTTTTGGAGGTAGAATCAAGATTTGATGAAATGGTATCGGGGACAAAAAGAAAAGACTCCACAAGGTTTCCAGCATGAGAAACTCTCGGAATTAAGCTTCTATTTCTGGACCCCAGAAGGCAGTGGGGATGCCTGGAGCTCAGGTTTGGGGTGTTTACGTTGGGGCTATGCTTATCGGACCACCAGATAGAGAAGTGAAATGGCTTGTTGCATCTAGGGGGCTGGGGTTCAGGGGGTAGATCCAGGCCAAACACATCAAAGTGGGGTGGAACAGGACGAGAGCAACTGTCTGCAGCACAGGCACACTGGGAGGCTGGGAGATGAGTGAAACCAGAGAGACACCAAAGAGCTGCCTTCTGGTGAGGTGACACAGACCCCGGAGCCGTTCCAGTGGCAGGTGGGGACAGTCTTCCTGGAGTATATTTGAGAGGCTGACAAAGCCCTCAGGAGCTGGCTGCTGGGGAGAACAGCAATGTCAGTAGAGGGGAAGGAAAGGCCTTTCTGCAATGAGTGCTTGTTTGTCTATTGTCCATGTCCCACCTGCTGGGCATGGGAAAGAATGGAGAGCATGCTAAGATGGTGTCCTTGTGTAGGCGCTGAGAATGAGACCTAGTGTACAGGGCGGGGGGCACTGACTGTGACTTGTCCATACAGAGCTGGGTATCCCCCTCTGGGAAATAGCAGATGAGAGGAGGTGGGCAGGGTCATGCGCTTTCCTGGTCTTGGTGAAAGCCCCCCCGGGCCACCTCAGGGAGGGGCTGGTAGCAGGGGCAGACTGGCATGGAAGGGGCAGAGGGCACCTCAGCTCAGAGAAGGGGGCTGGTTCCTGATGACACTGGCCAGGTGAATCTTGGCCACAGGCTCTCTAGTACTGAGAAACTGGGAGGGGGTGCTACTTCCCTGACCCTCGGGCTCTGATCTAAGTGGGTGGCTATGGCACAGAGCTGATGCTGGATGGTTACCAGACCCATTTTCAAGCCATCTTGCTCACCTGGAGCCAGCTTGATCTCCAGCGCCGTCCGGATGAGGGCCATCAGGGTGGATGTGAAGTGGACCGTCATGTCCTCGTTGGAGATGGGCATGTTCATGCGTACCAGGCGCTGGCAAGGAGCACAAGCAGGTTAAGGCTGGATCTGCTGGGGCTGCCCTCCCTGGGCAGGGCTGCCCAGCAAGTGATCTCTTGAGGCAGGGGCTGGGCAGGGTGGGAGTTCTGCCAGCATTCCCACTCTCATACACCCAGCCTTCCCCTGGACTGAGGACTCCGTGAGGCTGCAGGAAGGGGTGGCACAGGGCCGTGCAGGCCCTGGTCCCTCTGAGAGAGTCCCTTTCTGCTGGGATGAGGGGTAGGTCAGAGCTGTGGGGCCCAGGCTAAAGCTCCATGGAGCACACAGCAGGAGTGGGGTGGTGGGCAGTCCCCAAACACTGTCATTCAGCCCATTCAGCTAGCACCCAGGGTGGGTGGCCAAAGGGTTGGGCGGAGAGGTCCAGGCCCTGGGGGGTGTCCCACACGGGTCACAGCAGGTTTCACTCTGCCCCAGCAAAAGGCTCTACCCCAGAACTCCCTCAACATTGGCTGAGACTCAGGGAGTCTTGAAACCCCAGCAGAAGGCACCAGGTCCTTCTTGTGGGAGAGGTTCAGAGGCCCTGGCAACAAGGGCGTGCCAGCCCTGGGTTCCTGGTGGAAACACACACACACGCTTCCTCCGTGTCCCCCGGGGTAGGCAGCTGTGGCGGAGGCAGCAATTCCTGCGCATGCATCTGGTTCACCCAGGTGGGAGGCTATATCACCTTCTCCAAGGGAGGGGCGCGCAGTCCCGCCCCCAGCCTCCTGCAGCGCGCAAGGGCACAGACCCTAGTCCACTGGAATGCTGGCAGAGCCCCACTCAGCCCTGCCCCACCGCGGGCCCCGCCCTCCCTGTGACAGGGGCCAGAGTACGGCCTTCCAGAGTTCAGTGTCCTGCAGGCCAGCGGGCAGCAAATGCAGGGCAGAGCTGCCCCAGGAGGGCACGGGGGAGAGCTGAGGGCTTGCAGGTGACTCGAGAAGGGAGCGGCGTCCAGTGCTGGGGCAGGCTCCCAGGGGACCTTGGCCCTGGACCTGCCAACAGGCCACCCGGGGCATCAGCCTGTCCACCTCCAAGAGCCCCTGGGACTCCGGCTCATCCAGCCCCGTGGGCAGACCCCCACGCCCCACTGCCCAGCCCAGGTCTGGATGCGGCTCTCCTCTTGGGGATGAAGCTGCAGGTGCTCAGTGGGCAGGCACTGCACTGCACGCATGCGTCCGCTTCCACGTCCACGCAGGGAGGGCCGCGCGCATGCAGATGTTAGAGGCCTCTGCGCAGGGAGTGGCTCTCCCTCCCCCGCCCCCAGGCTGCGCCGCCTCAAGCTCAAGCGCAAAGCCCGGCAGCGGGGCCAGAGGGAAAGGCTTGTAAGATGGACAGGCGGACAGACGGCAGGAGGCTCAGGGCAGCTCAGGCGCTGGTGGGGCAGGCAGACTGAGGGGGAGCAGAAGGGGGCAGGTTGGGAGTTGGGGTCCTGTGACCTACTCTGGGGGCACATGGCCACTGGGGTCCCTGAGGCTCCCCATGCTGCATCTCTGGGGCTGGGACACCCAGGTAGTCAGCAGGATGTCCCCGCCCCCTCCCACTGAGCGGTGCGAGGCCTGAGCAGGAGCCCAGACCAGCGCACAGCGGCGCGAAGCGTCCAAACGCAGTCTGGGCCCGCTGCTAGGGAGGCGCAGGGGGCCGTGGCCTCCTGGGGCTCTCCCCGAGGGGACGCCTAGGGCGGGGCAGGCGCCCCAAGCCATAGAAGGCAGCAGGGAAGGGGCTGGCGGGGCAGGAGGGCGGTGACACAGGCAGCAGAGAGCAGCGGGGAGGGGGCGGACAGGCCACGCCTCTCTGGGAGGGCAGCGGGGTCTACCTTATACGCAACGCGGGCGGGACATTTCTTCCCCAGGCCCAGAGGTGGGGACATGTGCTTCAGCATCTCAAACATGTCATTGTAACTGATACGCCCGCTGGAGACCCGTCCCACGTCCCAGCGGCCAGGCAATGGGGTCCACAGGAGGAGCACGGCGGGAGCAGGGCGGGAGAGGCGGGCGGGCGGGCGGGCAGACAAAAAAACACATCCAGTTAATCCACAGTGCCGGGCTAGGTGCCAGAAATGAAACAGAAGTAAGATGAGGGATTCTCTGCTCTCCGTCCGAACCCCCCTCAGCCCCTCTCCCGGCCCCCACCCTCCTCCTGGAGGCCCGGAGAGACCCCGCGTCTCACCTCCAACTTGGCTCGCCCTCGCAGGGCGGCGGGTGGGGATGGTGGATGTCTAAGCTAATGAACATGGAGGGGGAGGGAGGGCTGGAGGCCGGCCTGGGCTGTTCATTTCTGGCTATTGTTTTAGAAACCCCCGCCTGGCCGAATCAGAGCGCAGCGGCTTCTCCACGCCGGGGCTGGCAGACAGAGTTATGTGACAGGTAGGCTGGGGCGTTCTGTCTGGTCAAGCTTTGCTTCCAAATGAGGCTACAAGGTGAGGAAACCTTCAAGAAACCCAAACACTCAGGGGGCAGGGGTGGAAGGGGCAGGGCGTAGTCTGGAGACCCGCCCCCCCTCGGCAGGGCCAGCCACCAAGGTTGGGCACTAGTGTGGGGCCCGCAAGCAGAAGGATGCGGTTAGGGGGAGGGCCAGTGACCACATTTTCCTGAGTTATAGGGGCCGTGGGTCAGGCGTCTGCACCCGGCCCGATGGAAAGAGCTGCCCTGGCAGGCAGGTGTCAGGAGAGAAAGGGCCCCGCCTAGCCTTGCCCTCCTCCACAGACATAGCAGGTTGGCCATCCGGAGGCAGCAGGGACCTGACCTGGGCGGATCTGGCCAGGAAACCTCTGGGTTGGGCTGGGGGTTGCTGTTTGGTTCTGCCCCCACCCACCCCCACTCTGTCCTCTGGGCCCTTCCCAACCTGGAAGCCGTCGCCCACCCGTGGACAAGCCACCTCCTGGGCGCAGCGGGCCCGGCCCTGCCGGCCCAGAAAGCCCTCCTGGGCACTGTCTCATAAGGCTGCCTGGCCCCAGCCGCTGGGGGTCGGGAGGTTAGACAGGACCAAAGCATCAGGAGGGTGGAGAGCGAGGGGTGGGCAGGAGGAGAGAGGTGAGGTGTTGGTCATTCCCAAACCAGGCAGGGCAGATGCCACAGGGAGTGTGTGCTGTTTGCATTTGGGAGGGAAGAATATGTTGGATGGAGGCTCTGAAGTTGCAAACCTTGTAGGCCAACCTACGAGGGCAGTTCTTCCCTAAGCCAACGGGTGGCGCAATACAACGCAACAAACTGTACAAATCCTTATAATGAATCCGGCAACTGGAAAGGAAATGTCAGAGGTTATGGTAACAGAGGCGCATGGAGCCCGCCCGCCCCCCACCCGGCTGCAATGGGAGATGTGGCCTTGCGTGTTGTGTCATGGAGGCAGGCGGGGCAGGGGACGTCCAGGAGGGAGTGACCCTCTCAGCCCTGTGCCCCCACCCCTCCTCTCCACCCTCTCTCACCCAAGGCCTGCTGTCGGAGCAGGGCAGTACCCCGGCCTCAGGCGCTGGCCCATCTGCCTGGTGAATGCCAGCTGGGCTCACTTCGGGGTGTGCACTCCCATAGGACTCCCCACCCCTCAGTCCAGGCAGCTCCAAGTCATGTGAGCGGGAAGAAAGGAATTCCATACTGCCCCTCCTGGCCACCAGAGAGGGGTGGGGACCTACGGGTGGGGAGACTGTCCCTCTGCTGCCTCAGCCCCAGGCGGAAAACCTGGGCCTGAACCAAATATTGTCAGCAAAACACCAAACTATGGGCCTAGCCCCAATTCTAAGGCCTGCCCCTCAGCCTCCTGGAAGCCTCCCTAGGCAGCTTTCTCTAGGCAGACACCTATGGGGTTTCCACCACACTTTGTCCATGTCTCCTGGCCTTCCCTGGAACCCAGTGCTGCTCAAGTTCCCCTCAGATGCCATCGCCTCCACTGTGCCCAGCGAATGAGCTCTGCCCCAGACACATCCTGGTCCTGCTCAGCAGGAGCAAATGCTGTTCCCTGGGGCCCAGGCCGCAGCACACCCAGACACTCACAAACGCTAGCTTGATGGCTAAGTGAACATACCAGTGAGCAGGGGCTCAGTTCAAAGCTGTGTGACAGCTGCCCTAACTCCTGTTCTGCCTCCACAAAATGCGAGGCAACCACAGAAGGGCCAAGAGAGGCACCTCTGGGCAGCAGTGAGGCCAGTCTCTCACATGCATACAATGCACACACAAGGCAGACATCCATGTTGTACACTCACCACATACGTGCCCTGCTACCCTGATGCACGCATGCACAGAGCCACAAGCATACTCACACATGCACACACGTGTAGCCACACACATGTACATTCATGAACATGTACACAGATGCACAGGCACACCACTTACCATGTGTACACATGTACTCAGATATGCAAGCATCCTCACCCATGTGGCTCACACATGGAGCCACACACATACAACCATGTGCACCCATATGCAGTCTTGTGCACACCACCACGAATATAGGCACACACCACCATGGACACGCAGACACACATTATGCATCCATGTACACACACATGAGCAGATGCACAGGCACACCCCACCCATGCACAAGTCACAAAAACATACATGTGGATTTTGTATGCACACATACATACCCACATGAATGCACACATGTATTCTTATACAACGCCCTCTAATACGAACATGCATGTGCACCTGTTTGCTCACTGCACACACATGCATGTCCACACACACCCAGAAAAAAGTTCACAAGTTTTGTTGTGATTTCAAAGTTTCTCCAAGTGGGAAACAACAATGGCCACATTTGGAGACTTCTAGAGGTTTCGAGATGTCCTCTGGCTGGCCAGGTAGAGAGGTCAAGACCAAATCTGTTTATGGCTTCTGTAGGCCCCTCTGTCACGGCGCTCACCTGGGGCACAGCGAATTCTGTTGCCACAGGGCCTCTGTGTGACTGCAGCCACTACCTCTCAGGAGAGGTGACCCTTGGCTAACTACTACCTCTGCTGGCCTGCACCTCCCAGAGGTCCTCCTCTAGATACGAAGCCTGGGAAATGTGTCTCAGCTGTGTCCCCCTCTCTGGAATCTGCCCCCTGGAAAGCCAACAGCTTAAAAAGATGGGAGTGAAACTATTCCTTCAGCTGCTCACCTGTGCACCTGCTTCAGCTTCAGGCCAGGTAGCACCCTATGAAGCACCTCTATTTCCTGCAGCACTGAGGTACATGTAAGTGTGCACAGGTGCGCAGGGTGGGGACCGCGTGCCCCAAGCAGCTCACTCCAGTGGACACTCCCAGCCCTTCCTCAGTGGGGTTTCTGCCACCCTTGCTTGACAAGGCCCAGGCCTGGTTGTGGCCAGTCTGCCCCAGCATGAGACCATCCAACCCTGGGCTCTAGCACAAGCACTGCCGTGGTTGGACTTTAGGAGGCCCAGGGGAGCAGATGTGTGGCCAGGAGGCATAGGAAGCAGCGATGCTTGTTCTGCAAGTGACACGTGGCAAACACACATAGACACAGTGGACCTAAGAGGCCTGGGCAGGGAAGGCCGGCAGGAGGCAGGGTAGGCCCCTATGTTGCCAGAGGCTCTGGGACCTACCCTCTACCCCACCCTCCCACAGCTCCCAGATTCTGACTAAAGGGGCCCTGCTCCCCATCTCCAGACATACCCAGCCCTCAGGGGCAAGAAGTCCTAGGGGTGTACCTGCCGAGCTCTAGATTTGGGGGGAAAGGTTGAGGACTGACCACGGGCAGCCAGTGTCTTCACCACAAGCCCCCAAGAGTGAGTGACCCAGCCCGGCGTGCGAGGTCACCTAGGAAGCCAGAGTGGGCTCACACCCCCTGACTCTGGAGGAAGGCACCGTGGGCCCCTTACTTTCCTGTATGGTGAGCCTGCTACAGGCAGTGTGTGCCAGGCTGGGATGGCACACCCCTCTGGTTCCTGCTCTGCTGTGTCCAGCACACATCCCCACTACAAAACGATTGCTGAGCGAGTGCACAAGTGAATGAGCCAGCATGTTGAGGAAGGGGGATGGGTGGTGAGTGAATGGACAAGTGACAGCAGATGAAGGAGAGTGGGTAATGGCGCGTGAGTGACGAGTGGCTGTGTGGATGAGGGAACAAGGGCATGAAGGCTGCCCGAGGGGATGAGGGAGAGTGGACAGTGCTGATGAGTCAGCAGGGGAGGGACGAGCGGCTGTGTGGATGCGCGAAGGATCAATGAGCGAAGGTGTGCAGAGGGAACGGCAGAGGAAGGGACAAGCACAGATGGGTGCAGGCTCTTCCCCTAGAACAGAGTCAAACCACCCTACCTGTATCCTGCCCCTGCTCGTGTGCCACTCCACCTGGAGGCCAGCCCCCCCAGGCCTGCACCATGCAGGTATGTAAGTGTGCAAGCCCTCCCTGACCATTCACCTGGCTCAAACGCCATCCACTAAGTGGCCCTGTGTGGCCCAGGCTTGTGCCAAGAACACAGGCTCTGGCTTCGTCCCAACCTGCCTGCACTCGAGTACCCCAAGGACCTCCCACCCCTGCCCTGTGGTCCCTGATTGGGCGGGGCCTGGGAGGAAGAAGAGCCCCTGGGCTCACACACCCAGTTTGGTGCTTCCCTGGGCCCATTTCCCAGACCTGGGGAGCCTGGGAAGGAACTGGGCCCTGACAGAGGGGCGCCAGCCCATCCCAAACAGGCCCAGAAGCTCCTCTGGGCCTCTCTTGAGCCTGAGAGCACGGGCTAGCCCGAGGACCAGGTGCCTTGGAGCATGGGGTGACTCACCAGGCAGCCGGGTCGTACTCAGCCCAGACCCGGATGAACTCGTCCAGGTGGTGGGGCCCTAGGATGGAAGAGTCCCGCGTAAGGTACTCAAAATTGTCCATGATCACAGCCACAAAGAGGTTCAACATCTGCGGGGCGGGAAGCAGAAGAGGTGACTAGAGCGTGCCCAATCTGCCCCTGTGGAGCCTGGGGCGGGTGTCCTGGGGCGGGTGTCCCCCGAGCCTGTGCCTGGGTGTCCAGCTGGCTCCACAGCAGCCCCCCCCCCCCCCCCACCAACTGGTCCCAGGTCACCCTGTGTTGAGCACTGAATACCCTAATTTGGGCCCAAAGTCACCTGCTCCCCGAGGTCACTGCGAGTGTGGGCTTGGAAGGAAGGCTGGCAGCTGAGGGGGGTGCGTACCCCTATAAGTAGAGACACTCTCCCTTGCCAAGCCTCTGCCTCCTCCCCGGGCAAGATGACCTGTGGCTGAGAGGGGCTGCCTGGATGGGGCCAGCAGGTTGTTACCAGCTGCACTGCTTGTGTCTGCCCTGCCTCTGAGTTTCAACCATGGGCACCTACAGCCCCCAGCCCAGCTTCCCACCTGCACTTTTATCAGGCCCAACTCATAGAGTTCAGGCGAAGGGGCTGCCCTTTAGCCAGGAGGCCGACCGGCTGGTGAAGCCAAAGAGAGGGCCATGCAGACAAAACACAGAAGAGGATGGGAGCAAGGAAAAATATGCTGGGGGCCTGGCATGTCTAGGCAGTGCTGGCTGCAGGGTGGGGCACTGTGTTCTACAGCCAGCTTGCCCTGTGGCTCCTCAGCTCTGAGCGCCTCTGGGCAGCAGGAAGCCAGCTGCCGGGCTCAGGCCCACAGAGGCCTCCCAGACACCCACATGGGTCTCCTGGCAGCCAAAGAAGAAGCAAAAGCGTTTCTGTGTTTCTCCTCCTTCACACCAGCTCCCAAGTCACCAGCAGAAACCCAGGCATGTCACCTTCCAACTCTAGGGTTCCTTCCTCACATGCCCAAATAAGAGTTCCCTGCTCTCCGGCCAGCTGGCCAGCAACCCCATTCTGGGGGGAAGGTGTTGAGCAATGGCTGCCACCAGTCTCACTGCCTCTCTTTGGCCTCATTGCTCTGGCCGCCTGTAGGTTAGGCAGCGCTCTCGGCTCTCAGCTCTGGATCCTTGACCCTTACTGCAATAGCCCTCCCATTCCTTCCTACAACTGTGCTGGACTGGCCACTGCCAGTGACAACACCACCTCCAAGCCTCAAGCCTCAACTGCAGATGCCCCTTCTCTGGCCCCACTTCCTACCCATCCTGCTCCGTCATCTTGTACCTGCCTTCCCGAAATTCTCTTCCATCGAGCCTGTCACTCTGTCCTGTCCAGCCCCTCCCTCTCAACCCTGCTCTGATCCAAACCCACGATGATTCCAATGCTTGCACCCACCATGATGAGCCCTGGACTCTGCCCTCAGGCCTGTGGGGAAAACCCCGGAGCTGACATGCTTCTCAGCACGCCTGTGCTTCAGACTTGCCCCTCTCTCCTGAGCCCACTCCAATACACTTTGCTGCCACCAGGCCACAGAAACTGCTCCTGTGGAGCTATGTCCACACTGCCACAGCCTGGGAGCGGTTCTCTGCACAGCAGTGTCTTGGCTGGGCTGTCCCTTCACCCTCAGACCCTTTCTCCCCTTGGCTGTTGGGCACTGCCCTGGCTTGCTCCCCACCCATGGCCAACCTCTTCCTGCTCACTGTGACCCAGCTACCCTCCTCCCCGGGCCGCTTCTGCAGAGATGCTGACTCAGATGGTCAGGGGCCTGCAGTTGTGATAACCAATGCTGCTGGCCGTGGCCACACCTTGTACGGTGAGGACTCAGAAGGTGTCATCAGCCGCAGATGTCTAAAGACACCTCATTTCCATCCTCAGCCCATCTCCAGAACTGGTCCCGTGTCCTCACCCCTCACACTGTGACCACTCTCTCTATCGGGCCAGCTCCAAATGCCCCCCGCCCCCAACCTGCTCTCGCTGAAGATCTCCTAAACATCCACAAGGACTGGGGGCAAGAAGCCCAAACACAGGCAGTCCAGGGCCTACCCTGTCTGCTCGCCTGAAGTTCCTGAGGACGTGGAGTGAAATGCTGCCTCCAGAGGCCGGGACCACCTCCCAGACCTCACTCTTCAGCTCCTACAGGGAACCTGCCCCAGACTCAGATGGGGCCACTGTTTACCCCAGCCTATCCCAATGGTGAAAGTCTTTCCATCGTCAGAAGCATAGGGGTCTTTATCACCAGGACATGAAGACGTTCCCCGTGAAAGTGCAGGTAGGCTGTGCGCTCTGAGACATGGGCCACTGGCACGGAATCAGCTTGTAGCATGACATGGAATAAAATCAGGAGCCAGCAGGAAATGAGAGGGACCCAAGATGGAAGTGGAAGACCGGGGCAGGCCGGCTCGGAGGGACGAGCACAGGGACGAGGACTCACCAGAAAGGAGCACAGGAAGATGAAGGAGACGAAGTAGAAGTAGGCAAAGTCACTTCCACACTCGGTGGCATTGGCGTGCTCGTCACAGGTCCGGTTGCTGAGACAGGACAGCATGATCTCGTGCCAGGCTTCCCCTGTGGCGCTCCTGAGAAGGGCAGAACCACGTGAGTCCACAAAGGCAGGCCCAGGACCAGCAGAGCCCCCCTAGAGCTCCACACCAGAAGAGCCGTCCCAGGGCACGCCCTCTCCCTCTCTGCTGGGAGCGGGACCCATGGTGAGTGGACCCTACGCATGAGGCGGAGGTCAAAGATGGGTGGTTTTAGCAGAATCTTCCACGAGCAATCGGAAAGGAGGTGAGGAGCCTGCTTACACTTAGTGAACAGGGACCCACATCAGGGGGCCGTGTGTGTGAAGTGCTTTTGTGGAAACCTAAGCTGCTGGGCCCCCTTCTCCAAAAACACACAGAAATGTGATTTTTAAAAAGAGTCACCTGGCATTTTATTTCCAATTAGTTGTTAAAGCACTCATCATTAAAAACCACCCACAACACTGGAAGTTCAGCCCAGAGGGAACATTTTCACATGGCTGTCTAGCCTCTCAAACCTAACAGACCCCAAAAGGAAGGCCCTGGGCCCCCCAAATGTTGCACCTTCCCGGTCCCCTCGTTTCAGTGAATGGCGACTCCATCCACCCAGTTGCTCAGGCAAGAAGCCTGGGTGTTCTCCTTGTCTCCTCCCGCTCTCTCTCCACACCCTACGCATCCAGCCCC